AATTTGTGAGATGAAAATTTTTGCAGAGGATTTTGTAAACAACCAATGACTTTCGAAATTGAACTTGAGAGTAAAATATCTACACGAGAGAAATTTTCGCACAAAAAAAACTTTACATATACTGATGCCTCTTCGTTCATTCGAATCTTGTGAATTTTTAACCTTTCTGCGCAATGCAGAATCCATCGGAATCGACTCTAGGGACGAAAATCCTTATATATGTATAAAACGTTCGTAGACTTTCAATTTAATTTATTCTGTGAAAAACGAACTTTTCTTTGAGTAACTTTAAAGCAATTTACTATCAATCATTCAAATTATTATTTACAATATCTTACAAATATTTCATTTACATTAAAGTAGGGTCAAACCACGTCAACACGGACTAAATTTTTTTTAAGTTTTTTGTAAAAGTAAAAACATTTAGAAAAATCTTTAGTTCACAACGAATTAAAGAAACACTTTTAACCATTTTTCGAAATTAAAAATTTTTATAACTTTTTTCACAATAACAAATTTTTGAATTATTTTAAAATAAATTAATAACTGACCTTGATAAATAATGTTTTATTAATTATTTTATGTTAATTTTTTCTTTAAGCGATGAATGTAAATATTATATTATAAAGGAGTACTATTGTTATGAAAAAATTCTTTTTTGTAAGGTTTATAAATAAATAGTAATAAATCATTTTTAATTTTTAATAACAATTCCCGTGTAGAAATTTCGCTGGGGCCCTGATCAGGGCCGGATAGGGCCGACCTATTAGGGAATGAAACGCCGCGCCCGATGTGGCCCTGATCAGGAAATCCACATTTTCTTGTCACCCCGATCTGGCCCTGATCGGGCGCGGCGTTTCATTCCTTACTATGGCCCTAGTAGGGCAATTTCTACACGGGTTTTATAAACAATGTGTAGCTTTTATGATTTCTAGAGCAATCATTTTAATGAAATTTATACATACCATACCTTATCTTCTTTTTTTTAAAAACACTCGTTATTAAATTCCTAAGAGATTCCTTGAGGCCGATTTTAAAAAAAAACTTTAATTTTTCTTATTTATTTATAAACCTTAAAAAAAAAATTTTTTTTCATAACAATAGTACTCCTTTATAATATAATATTCACATTTATCGATTAAAGAAAAAATTAATATAAAATAATTAATAAAACATTATTTATCAAGGTCAGTTATTAATATTTATTTTAAAATAATTCAAAAATTTGTTATTGTGATAAAAAGTTATAAAAATTTTTAATTTAGAAAAATTGTTAAAAGTATTTCTTTATTTCGTTATGAACTATAGATTTTCATAAATGTTTTTACTTTTAAAAAGAACTTTTAAAATTTTAGTCTTTGTTGACGGGGTTTGACCCAGTACTTAATATTTTAGTAGTAAAACATTTTTAACTATTTGCAAGATTTTAAAGAAAGCGTATATTTAAAATGTAGTGACTTTTGACAATTCATAGATAAGTTATAAAATAAATGTATATACACAAAGTTTTAAATAGATTTTATTATTTTTGATTTGTTTTTATTCGCATTTAAACATTTACGTTAAATTTAGTGAACTAGCAGATTTTCCAAAAAAAAAAGAATTTGTTTTATTTACATGCGGAATAATAACTTCATGCATAAATTTGCGAACGCTGCAGATAATGTAAACAAATTTATGAAATGAAAATGGATGCATTGCTAGTTTACTTTTAGTGATATTTACAAAATAGTCATGCATATATGTATGAAAATGGAATGTTGATTCTAACTGAATTTCTTTTATATGATTTGCTTTGTTGTAAGGTAAAACCAAAATCAATAATGTGTCAACTTAACGTGCTTGTTTTCCAATAAAATAAAAAATTCATTAAAAAAATAGAATTTATTTGATCATGCAGTTGAACAACAGTATTTTTTCCAAAGTTTTTTCCAAGTACTAACAATAAATATTTAAAATTACCTTGTCACTAGTTAAATTTACTGTCAAAAATAGTATTTTTTACTACATTTTTTACCACGAATTCTAAAAAATCCTGAAATTTTTTCTATTTCTGACAATAATTTATTTTAAATAACTTACTTCTATTGAAGATCTGCCATAAAGTTATTTGATAAATCATTCAATGAAGTATTTATTTGAAAAATTTCAATTCTGTTCAAATTAATTTCAATTTTTTAAAATTTTAACGCACTTCTTTGAAAAAATCCAACTATCTTAATTAATATTAAAATTCTTTCCAGAAATTCAATTATTTTCAAAATTTTTTTTTTAAATTCTTGTCAACATTTTAATTATCTTTATAAATAGCAAAATTCTTCGCCAAAAGTCAATTATAATCAGAAATTTTGATAAAATTTATTGTAAAATTCAATTATTTTCATAAAATAAATACAATTTTAATCGAATTCTTCGAAAAATGTAATTATTCTTAAATATGTTATTAAAATACAAATAAGAATTTAATTATTTAAAAATTTGTTAATAATATTACGTAATAAGAATTCAATTTTAAGAAACATTCAATTATTCAATAAATTATCTATGTTTGTATTTAAATAATTGAATTCTCGTAAAATTTTCTAATAAAAATTGATTTAAAAATTAATTTCAGTTAAAGTTTTAAACTACTTGAATTTTTGAGAAGTTACTAATAATTGCAATTTTTAGAAATAATGAAATTTTAAAAAAGTTTCCAAATTAAAATCTTTGAAAATTTGAATTTTTCATAATTTTAATTAAAAATTCTATGAATCTAATGTTTTTCAAAAGCTTAATTAAATATATAATTATATTTCAAGTTTTCATTTTCTAATGTATATTTAAATGAAGAATTTCTGAATAATAGAAATTTTGTAAAATTGAATTGTAAACAAATGAATTTGAAAATTCTCAAAAGAACTTTATTCAAAATTATTAAAAATAATTGCTTTAAAGAAGAATTTTATTTAAAAATTATTGTAGAAAATAATAATTGAATTGAAATGATGAAAATAATTTTGAAGAAGTTACAGTAACAATATATTCTTATAATATAAAATAATGATTTTATCATTAGGTGACCTTTTATTATTATAATAAGTTATTGAATTTCAAAAGGTTTGAATTAGAAATTTTGAAAATCGTATTCTTTATGGAAAAATAATAATGATTTAATATTTATTTAAAAATGAAGTTATTGGTATTTTTGATTAATTTTACAATTAAGGAAATTCACAAATAAATGTATTAGAATATTTTTTTGAGTATCTATTAATTTTTTGAGTGTATCAGAATATTCTTTAGGGTGAGGGAAAAAGTTAAATATATTATCTGGAAATCAGGGTAAAGTCAGGGAAAAACAAAATTAAATTTTTGTGTCAAATCTGTATTTTTATTTGGTTAATCTTAAAAGTCCATTTTTTATGCTTCTTTTTTTATGAAATAAATTTTTTTTTGCGTTTAGAAATTGATGTTTAAATTTTAAAATTGAGATACTGAATTTTTCTCTTTATATCTCGATATATTTTTACTTTACATGCGTCAATGGCGGAATCGCGAAGTAATCTGATGCTTGAAACTTCCCTGAGAATTTGTTAGTGAATATAGTAATAATGTGTCTGAACTTCTGATCTAACTTTCTGTGTGAAAACGGTGTTTAAACCATTTAGAGATCGAGTTTCCTACTGAAAATGTCTCTAACCTTCTCCTCCCTTACTTTGTACCGATAAACCATGGCAAAATTCACCGGATGTCGGAAACTGCTGCCTGTCGACAGCAAGTGTTCGAAAACTATGTGGGCTATGTGCTATGATCAAATGTGAAAAATGGAAAAAAGTTTTTTTTAACGCAGAGATGACAAGAATAATAATAATTGTAAAAAAATATTAATTTATATATAATAGAAAATAGTAATACAAACAAGAATAATAAAAACAAATAATAATATCAATACAAAACAAATATTAAACTAATACAAATATTTTAGTAGTATACAAAGTAAAATTTTATCACGAGGTAACACAAAACAAAAACCTCTTTTCAACCTCTTAACATCTGAATGTGAGATTTTCGACATGGTTTAAAGTTTTTAATGACGCTTAAGAGGAAGTGACACCTTTGAGGTTCAATGAGGTCTCTTTTGAACCTGTTTTCATGAATTTTTTAAGACACAGGAAGAAAGTAAACAAAATTTGTTTTCGAGAACTTTATTTGTTCACATTTTAAGTTTACGAAAATATATTTATACTTAAAAAATAGTTCCAAATTGTTGCCTATAGAGGGCGCTAAAGTTGTTCTCGTTTCTCTGTAGGGCAAATCGGTTAGACCGTTCAATCTAAAACAAAAATTCAAAGCTTTTATGAATCTGTTATAAATGTAGCTTTAGAGTACGTAGGATATTTTTAAAATATTAATTTTTGTGTATTTGGCTTTCATTAAGCGAAAAAAGTCGATTTTTAGGACAAAATTTTTTCAAAAAATCTATTGCCAAAAAAACAAACACAAAAAAATATGCTACGTACTCTAAAGTATTAGTAAATGACGAACAAAAAAAACGTTGGCCGAAGTCAATCTGATCAAAACTGTTCGAGCCAGACTGTCCACCTCTTTGAAAAATGTCATTTCGAGAAAAACGCATTTAAACTTTTAAAATGTGAAAACATGAAAATTGAAACCACTGTTAATCTAAAATTTAAATATGTGTATAATTTTAATAATGCGCCGAGAACTGTCTTGTAAATATATGCACCATATAAGTGACCTTTTATATTAATATTTCCTTTATTTTCTGCAGATGTCGATTTTTTCACATAAAATAACTTTGAAATCACTTCTCATTATATAATTTCTAATCTAAACATTATAAAGTATCGTTTAAGCAAAAGAAAATAAAATCAATTTTTCTTCAGGTCAAAGGTGACACTGCCCCTTAAAAAACGAGTGACAAAAAGGGGGTCTAAATTCTATCCAGGAAATGTTCTCAAACTTTCTTTTTAAATTTTTTTAATTCTTGATTACAGGTATTACTTGGATCGAAGTGACTTCAAAATGACGCTACGATATATGAATTTATTGAAAGGAGCATCTCGAAACATTGCTAACGACTGGATGAACGAAGCTAGAATTCTTTTAGAAACTCAGCAGGCTGTGGATGCTTTACTTGCGTACGCTGGGGCTAATGGCCTCATCTTTCTTGGAGACGCGAAGACTATAAAGGTATTTAAAAAAACAACAGATTTTAATAAAAATAATATAATTTAAATTCATGAAGATTTATATATTTTTTAAACTAAAAGGATTCCAACTTTTTATTTATTGACCTGTTTAGAAATTAAAAACTTTAGATTGAACAAACTTATCTTAAGTGAAGTTCGTAATCTCAATAATCGCATGTGCCGCCTTATTCGAATGGATTAAAGCATGTAGTACCGCAGTTACTATTTGTACCGTCATAGTAATTGAGGGGGCGGAATTATTGGTACTACTGCTTGATATCACCTCTTATCTTCATTGTCAAAAAGAGTCGAAACAGGAGGATTAGCTTGGTTTTAACTTGGTCTTACCTATTTTGAATTATTCCTGTATAAAGACAATATTTTCATTAATAGCCATCTCACACAATAATACTTGACAAGTACAAACATGAAAATATTAAATAAATAAAATAATTTATCCTTAAGTTTTTTGGTTATATCAAAGCGTGGGTTGTGCACTACTCAGTAAAACATTAAATTTAGAACTTATCTTAAAAAATAACAATAACTAGAACCGACATAATGAGCGCCCGACAAAATGTCCACATATGAAGGAGAAAATTCAGTATAATATTTCCTCAATATTCCTTAAAAATTACCATGGTATATTAACTTATCCTTGTTACTTTAGATGAACTTAAACTTTCCTTGCAAAGCAGGCTGTTGCTATTGTCAACCATATACGAATCTTATCAAAATATTGCACATCTGCTTATATAAAGTCCGTAATAGACTCCGCAAAAAATTATCTTTAATGGAATATTCATTTCATTTTTTAAATATTACAATATTTTAGAGTTAAAATTTAAATATGTATAATTTTAATAATGCCGAGCACTGTCTTGTAAATATATTTTAAAGTTTTTTTGTTCATGCTTTATACTTTTTTTTATATTTTTTAGTTTTTTTATACGCTCTTCATACAGTCTTCTCAACTAAAATTTATAATTGACATCTTCTGAAAATAGAAAAATTAGTTACTGCAGCTTAATGGGATAGTTAATATAGACTAAATATGACAAGAATTTCCTCAAGTATCAGGCAAGTAATCGTATCGTGCGAGAGTGAGGAAGTAATGTAGATGTGAGTCTCAGTAATGCAGCTTTAAACTCATCAAACATCCTATATTTCCGAAGTTTATAATCATATTATTTAATAACTATCACTCCTTAATTCTCGCTTTTGTAATTCCGTAGAAATTTTTCGACGCAGTTACTTTAAAATTGAGCCTCATGGCTTTTTCATTTTTATACTTTTTGTTAGTAAAAAATATCTCATCTTTTAACAATTTTCGATTTTGTGGACCATCAAAAAACCTTTTCATTTAGTTTGGAATAATGAAATTACTGGTTCGGCTATATATTCGGCTTCACCGAATTCATTTGGCTTTTATAAATCGAATTCCAAAAAAATTCAATTAGTGCTGCATTATACTGTTTACCAAAGAAAATTTTGCAGATATTTTCAAATTCTAAAACCAAATTCACAGTCAGCAATTTCAAAAACCCGTAAATATCAAGTTTTATGAAGATATATCAGTTATCTGACTATTTTTCTCCATGTCGCAAATACAATGAAATATTCAACTGGATCACCCATGCTCACCATTTTTATTTTCATCAAAAAGCAATTTATTGTAGGTCAAATTAAAGCTATAAATGTCAGCTTTTTAATGCGGAGTGGGAAATTTGGAATTTCTGTATACTGGAATCAATATCGCGGACTAAAGCAAAAAAAGCATGTAATGAAATGGTAGTCCTTGTAATAAAATAAAGAAAAAGATGTTAATAAATTTCCACTACACTTAATAGTCAAAAATGCCTTTCATCTTTTGACAGAAATATTTTTTTTCTGATAAGAAGATATTTATATCAATTTTTAAAGCAAATACAACTTTAGATAAAGTTTTATTGTCAAAATATAATAAAATATTTCGTTTTTATGAAAAAATGGTTAAGTAACAATTTATAAACGCTTACATTCTAATTGTTCCAATTTGTGAAAAGTCGTGTACCAATTAGTGCACTTGAAATCCAATTTTGTAATAAATAAACAATAATTAACGCCAAAAATATTAAAATTTCCTGAAAATTTATTAAATATTTACTTGAAATGTTTGAAATATTTAAATGCAAAGTTTAGTGAAACATTTAATTGTTCAGGCAAGTTTCATGCAAAACATTTATTTAATCAAGACACTTAAATCTTTACACAATTTTCACTAAACTTTGCATTTGAATAGTCCAAACATTTGGACTATGGGTTATTATTTTAACTTATAATTGTTTAACAATAATTTTTGAAAAAAATAGAAAAATTTAAACTTTAAAAAAAATTATCAATTTTACAACTAAAGTAAACTAATGAGTATTTAAATAAATAATAAACTTGAAAACATTTTTAAAAGATCAAAATTATTTATTCCAGGTAAGCCCAAGTTAGAACTCTCCTAGGTTTTGTTAACGTTATATAAAAATGTTGTTTGTATGTAATACTTTCTAAATTTAAAACAGTATGAATTTTAACTACTACGTAGTAAAATTTTATTATTTTGTATGGTGGTTCTAAGTATCTTTTACTAAAATTTTAGTTAAAAATGCTTTGTAGAATTTGTAGAAATTCTTACTAATTTTAAGTACTAAAACAAATTCTAACTCTTTTAGGTTTAGAAAAAGAAAATATAATAAATTTTTCTTTTATAGCAATAACCGAGATGTGAGTAACTAAATTTCCCAGATATGAGTTATTTATCGAGAAAAAATAACTCTGTAAGAAGAGACCGAAGTTATCCAGCCTTACTTGTACAGTCATCTTTTTTAGTAAATTATATCCTTCAGGAATCGAAATAAATGGGTTTTATCCAGCAAACTCAAGCATTCTACGAGAAATCTAACACGAGAAGCAGTGTATTTTAAATAAATTCTTATTTATAATTAAATTCAGTCTGTTGAAAAATAATTTCTACCATAAATAACCTTTAATGAAGAACTTTTCAGAAATAATTTGATAGCGGATCACAGCGACGAATAAAATGAAACCTACTATGGACCCTTCTGGCCCACTCGTTAAGTCGATGCAGATTTAATTAATAGAGACAAAGTGCAAATTTTAAATGTCGAATGAAAATACTTATATGTAGTTGCTTCGACTTAGATTGTTATACATCTTATTGTTAAATAAACTTGTTAATGTACACACTCATCAGGAAAATAAGTTTTTTGTCTCTGACTTTGTAATGACGGGCAATGAGTGGACTTTGTAAGTAAAATTGATATAAATAGTGACAAATGTTCTGTTTTATTTTTTATTCCTCTCAACAAGCAAGTACTGTGAAATTTAACCGGAGAAAACTGTTTAGTTTTTAACTTTTTTATATAAAAAATAAAATTGACCGACTATTGATTCACAGATAGACGCGGTTTGTGTTAAATTTATTTTTATATTTAACCATTTGGAGAATCATCTCAATTTACAATTTTAATAATTTAACTTATATAATAATAATGTAATTCATTTAATTTCATAAAAATAATATGTTTTAAACAATTTTGGTGACGAATAGTAAATGTATTTTGCATTGAAAGTAAATTGAAAGAAAATCTTTATTATTATTTAATACGTCCATAATTATGAACATTTAAAATAAAATGTATCAACTTTGGAAAATATGTCAGTTTATGAATCATTTCATTTTCTTAAAAATAAATAAAAATTATCATTAGTATTTTGAATTTTATAAAAAATAAGTTATACCTTGTAAATTGAATTACTAAATTAATTGAAATTTAATTAAATTAAGCTCGTCAAATCAACAGTAATAACAAAACTTGAAAAAGGATTCTGCCGATCGTATTTTATTATTTTCATAGTCATCGAGAAAATGTTCATTGGAAATCTGCTGGTCCGTCAACGCCGTCATTAGCCGAAGTCATCAGGGGAAGTGCTTTCTGGTGCATATTTTCGGATATGATTCCCGAATATTCAAGAGCACCATGAAGACGAAAATTACTTGTTGTTTTGGTCTTGTCAAAATACTGGCAGCGGACAGTTTGAATTAAAGACCCTAAGTGAATTGCTGGTGACTATAGATAATAAGGCGTTCTGCTTTATCGGCCGAAGATATTATCTAGCGCGGATAAGTGAAAAATGTAAAAATATTAGTACACCTTAGACTCACTTTAGGAAAACGAAAACGAAGCGCGCGTGTAGCGACGCGTTCATGGCCAAGTGCCATGACAGGATTAGGCGCAATCCGAGATCGGCGTCGTATTGACGGTGAGTCTTAATTACTTATAATAATTGTTGTTTTCTCGCCAGATTGGCATAAAATTTATTGTATAAAAGTTTGATTGTTGAAAGTAATGCTTGTCGCCGCGTTGTGATGCGGTATTTAAATTCTAAAGACGACCTTCTCACGAATAAATAAATTGTTCAGCTAAAAATAGAATTTAAAGTAAATTAAATTAAATTATTTATAATAGATTTAAATTCAGTGACAGTGTAATAAATAATTAATGTGTTACTCTCCTAACCCCTTCTCCTCTCCAAGGTTTGTCAAGAATTTTCCTAACAATTTCTGAATTATTCTGGCTACCTAATTAAAAGTGGTTGCACTAACATTTCGTCAAAGGAATAAAATTAAATAAATAAAATTGGAATCGAAATTGTAAATATTTAAAATTAAAAATCACGAACATGGTTATTGTGAGTGATTAGTCAAACTGAATACCGCGGTGACAATTTTCGTATTATATACAGATACGCGGGTCAATGAATCTTCTTGTTAATAGTAAATTCATTGCTTTTAATATGGATCATTTCTGAAATTACTCTTTTTTATATGAAAATTCATAATCCATAACTTTAGTATCATCAAAATTGAAAGAATGATTTTACTCTGTTTGATGCTTGTTTACAACTGAATCTGAATTTTTGTTATTTTTATATTCATTAATTCTATTTTTTGAAGTCCGTTTAGATTCACCAATATAAGTATCAGGGCAATCGTTACAATTATTAAACTTATAGACAATATTCTATCCCATTTTCTTGTCAAATCTTTCTCTAATTTTATAACTGAGTCTAAACTTTTTTGAACTATTGGAATAGTTAAAAGATTGTGTTTTTTAAGAATATTAGATAATTAAAAATATATGTATATTGTTGAAAGAAAGGCAAATTTTCGGATGTTGGTGATAAATAGAATTCGAATTATTATATTAGATTATTATTGTATTATATGAAATTATATATTCTCTTTATATTTCAAACGAATTTTTAGTTTATAACAAATCCAAGGCGCAGAGAAATATTACTTTAATATATGGAATAAAAATAAGAGAGATAACGATTACGCAAAAATTCGACAAATACGAAAACACCCTTCTATAGGTAAAATGAGGTCACATGCACTAGAGAAAGAGTTAGGAACGCCAAGCGATCCACCAAACAACATAGGAAGCTCCCAGAGCGCTAGCAAATATACACGGCAACTTAGGAAAATCTAATGGAAATTATTCCGTCAAATAGGGTAACTTCGGACGGTTTTTGATGTTTTTTATTAATGTCTTTTATAATATAATATCTGGAAGTTTTGACGTTCGGAATATATCTTTGTTATTTTTTTGAAGTAAAAAACAAGTGTCCGGAGTTATCAGCTAACAAAATTCCAGCTTTTTTTTCGTAGTAACTAGCTATTTTGTATGAGAAAATGATAAAATAATTGTCCTTAATAACAGTGAGTTTGAGAAAATTGATATTATAGTTGTCAGAGTTGAGCCCTTTTCGAAATTCATGAAAAAAATTTAATCGTTTCAATCATAAAAATATATTAATGAAATATTTTACTATCGAAAAACAATTTATTCATTTATTTATTTCATTTTAAAATGTATTACATTTTTTCTTAACTTAAAAACAATTCAGCATTATAGGTTAGAAAAGAAACAATCTTAGGTTAAAAGTCAAAGGATCACTTTTAATACACTTTTCTTTACTAAAGTACCTCAGATGAAATTTTCCTTTTAAGAAAACGTCAATGGATATGTAATAATGCAAAAAAAATTCAAAAAAGTGGTATTTGAAAAAAATCTGAGTTAAGCCCTTTTCGTAATTCACGATTTAATTATGCAATTAATTATAATATGTCAGTAACCAAATTTAATAATGTATAATAATTTACCAAACTGTATCTTTGGCCGACATGTAGAAGCGTTGTCCAAAATTTCGCAGTCGGAGCGATGTGCGAGCACCGAATGATTAATCATTAACCGACTTCCTCAAATCTACCCTGTACTTCGAATGGGTTTGTGGTACAGAGACACAGATAGTGTAGTGGTCAACTTTATCTATGAATAAATCACGAAAACGGAATCAATGTTACCATCAAAGAGTTAAGACATGTGATACAGATATCGTATAATCGACGATTGTCTCATAGTCAGAAATTAAACATTGTCCAATTTATCCCAGACTTTTTTAAAGGTTTGTCATTGTTTATAGAAGTAGCTGTACCGGTGCAGAAATTCAACTTGGAAACTAATGAGGTAGTGGCTAGTTTTAATTATTGATTATTCGAATATATTCGTAATCAGCGACTCCAAAACTCCCGAGTAGTAGTTTTCATGAGCCTAGATCAATTTTAAAATTTTTTTTATCCGCCATATTGGGTACCGCCATTTTGAATTTTAAAAAACACTGTCGATTATTGTTCGGTACACACCATTAGTGCTCGGCTGTCGATAAACCGGTTGTACCTCTAATTTCAAGTCGTTCCGTAGACGCAATATTTAAGAAATTTAGATTTTAAGGCATTATTTGTAAGAAACTTCCACGGGGACACTTTTAAAGCTAGAATTCAGTGCAATAGACGAGTGTATAAATAATAAATAAGATTGTTGTAAATCCATTTGCACTATAATTTTTTTTTCAAAGTAATATAAATTTGGTGGATTTTTGGCGTTTAGAACTCAAAAATTGATTAATTTTTGACAAAGTTTTGAATGTTCAAACACAAAAGTGGTTTCAATCGAAGCAAATACTCTCTAGGGAGCAAAACCGGCGCCCTCAACCTCCACTCGTGTCACAAAAATCACCATAAACAAATGGCTGCCTTTGTTCCCTCGTTGCTTCATATATTAAGCAACAACATCATATTTCATATGATATTAAAAATTGATTTCATTTTCAATAGTCGACCACCTTTTGTATTCATGAATAGGTCATGTATAAATATAATATTAGGTATAATAAATAATATAATTATAATAATATACATAAATAAATGTAAATATAAATTCTATCCAGTGCAAGGAGTGCTAATGACCTGTTCGCCTCACTTGTATTTCAAAAGTGACGAATTTTTTCACTTGTCATCATTGTAAGACCGAAACCAATGAAATTTGATGTTAGAGCCGAATTTGAAAAATTAAATAAATTAATTTAATAATATCAAATTTTTAAAGAAACTTTAACTAAACGTGTCCTTCGGACAAAATAATTTGTAAAGGGTAGTGGATTCTTCCCTCTACTTGGTTATTGGTTCAACCAAGGGGTGAGAATCCTATCCCTTGAATTTGGAGAAGATAGGATAGTTTTAGGAATAATTAAATTATAAGCAAAAATAAGATTAAACAATATAAGATATATATTTTCCCAATGAGTCCCTAATACAAATAAAACTAATCTTTACGTGTGTAAAAAGTACGTGTGAATCTGTACGTGTGAATGAGATAATCGTGTGTGTCGTAAAATGTAAGATGTTTTTACTCACTACTTGGTATTCTGTACTTCGAAATTCGAATCCAATGACGAATCTTGTTTTTATCCTCTTTACTATGAACTTTAATATTCCTTAGATAATGCACAATGCTGAGACTTCAATTCTTTTACTCTTTAACATAATTTATGATTTCTTTAAATTTATTTTCATTTCTTTTATTTTAATATTTCTTTTCAATTCCCTATATTTAATTTTTATTAAGTAAATTCTCTCTATTTATTTTCTTTCACTATATTTCAATATTTTTCTTATATTTCTTTGATTCCTTTAATTACACAATTTAATTATTTATATTCAATATATATATTTCAATTCAATCTTCTTTAACTTTTATTTATTTATATTATTCTCAATTGTATTCACTTTCTTTAAACAAACTTTTTATTCTACCGTTAGACTTTCGATACGATTAACACGGCTAAATGCCGGACTTAGAACTTCAGGCTACAATGGCCTGGACTAAAACTGCGGGCCTAAACTGCCCGGGCTAACTGCCGGCTACAACGGC